GCAGAATAAATATAATTCATCTTTTGCATGCCAATCTTGTGAACTTTTGAAAATAATCTTCTTATTTATAAGGACTATTTGCAGTTTCCTTAAAGCATATGAAGTTGCTTTCAAATCAGATCAGTCTTCAAAAAAAAAAAAAAAACAGTATTTACAGGCTGGGGATATAGCTCAGTGGCACTGTGCCTGACTTCCTCACAAGTGCAACGTCCTGAGTTTGATCCCCGGTACTGAAAAAAAAATAATTTTTACATGTCACTACTTTGCAAATGCAGCCTAACCAAGCAGTGCTTTACTCTTGGTGATTAGGTACAAAGTGGGCCTTTCCTACAATCTTGGAAAATGGATAATGGTCTACTAAGTCTTTCAACTGCAGTTTGTAGTCTCCTACTCTTGTAATTTCTAGGATGGCAGGCTGTAATTCTGCATAGTACTTGTGTTAGAACTCATAAAATGGCTGGAATTTCTCTGGCACTTGATGAACTGCGATACTTCATCAGGCCACTAGGTGATGAGCAATGCACAAACCCAGACTGTCAGGGACTGTTTTGTCCAGGACAATTTCTGTTTGTAATTGAAAAGGTCATCAGAAGTCATCTGGTACAACCGAATTAAAAGTTTTTATGGGAGGAGAATACAGAGAAGGGAAACGTATTTCTAATATACTTTGTCTTATCTGGCTTTATTTTGATTCTGAATACTAATTTGGCTGAGATATTTCTTCGAGTGATTTTTTTTTTTTTTTTTAAATTTGAGACAGAGTCTCACCAAGTTGTTAAATTGTCCAGGCTGGGCTTGAACTTGCCATCCTTCTTCCTCAGCCTCCCAGAGTGTTGGGATTTCAGGTGTGTGCCACCACAGCCCACCTAAACTTATTTTCTAATTGGTACATAAAAGTAAAAAAATCATAAGTATTTATATATGGTGTGCCATGTAATATTTCATAATGTTTCAATAATATGTGCCTTGTATAACATTTAAATAAATTTAAACATCCTCTTGAATATTTATTATTTCTTTATGGTGAAAATAGTCACCTGTAGCTTTTTTTTTTTTTGGTTTTTTGAGACAGGGTCTCACTATGTAGTTCAGACTGCTCTGGAACTCACTGTGTAGTCCATGCTGGTGTCGAACTCACGGTGATCCTCCTGCCTCAGCCCTCCTGAGTGTTAGGATTACAGGCATGTGCCAATATACCCAGCTATTTATTATTTCTTTATGGTGAAAATAGTCACCTGTAGCTTTTTTTTTTTTTTTCTTTTTTTGGTACCGGGGATTGAACTCGGGTCCTTGCGCTTGCAAGGCAGGCAGCGGAACCACTGAGCTAAATCCCCAGCCCTTTAATAGGCAGCCCATGGTGCTAGCCGGGCCACCTGTAGCTTTTAAAACTATACAATACATTATTGGTATCTGTCATTACCCTACTGTATAATTAGCACACTAGAACTTTGTGTGTGTGTATGAGATAGTGGAGATTGAACCTAGGGATTTGCTCATGCTACTCTAGCTCTCTTATAAATAGGTTTCTTTTTCTTTTTGTTTTTTTGTAGCAGGTATTGAACTCGGGCCCTTGTGCTTGTGAGACAGGCAGTGGAACCACTGAGCCAAATTCCCGGCTTAGCACTCTTTATCACTGTTACAACTCCAGCCTTTTAAAAAAATATTATTTTATTTTGAGATAGAGACTTGCTAAGTTGTCCAGGCTCGCCTACAACTTGTGATCCTTCTGCCTCAGCCTCCTGAGTAGCTGGGATTACAGATGTGTGTGACTGTCCTTGGTTATGGCAGAACTTCTTACTCCTATTTAACTATTATAACTTAGTACCTGTTTACAGCCTCTCTCCATCCAGCACTCCCTTTGCTCTCCTTGGACTCTTATAACCATCATTCTGTTTTCTACTTCCATGAGATCTTTTTTATTTTTTAAGTTCCACATATGAGTGAGTTCATATAGTACTTGTCTTTCTGTTCCTAGCTTATTTCATTTAGCATAATGACCTCTGGTTCTGTCCTTGTTGAAAATGACAGGATTTTAAAATTTTTAATTTTTTCTTATGACTGATTAGTGTTCCACTATCTATGTGATCTACACTTTATCCTTTCTTTAGTTGGTGGATGCTTAGGTTGTTCCCATTTCTTCACTATTGTGAATCGTACTGCAATAAATGTGAGGACACGTGTGTCTTTTGTCCAATTTTATTATTTTTTAATTGTTATATGTTTGTAATACATATTTACATTCATTTTGGGAAATTGGTTCATATAGTAACATATCTTAATCCATTTCTTTATTTTTTTGTTGGTTATTTATTTATTTTTTTGGTACCAGGGGTCGAACTCGGGACCTTGTGCTTGCAAAGCAGGCGATGGAACCACTGAGCTAAATCCCTGGCCCCCTTTTCTTTACTTTTTGAGACAGGGTCTCATTGTGTAATCCAGACTGGCCTTGGATTCATAATTCTCTGACCTTACCTCCTTAGTCCAATTTTTTTTTCTTTTTTCTTTTTTGTGCTGGGGAGCAAACTCAGGACCTTGAGCTTGCCGGGCAGGTGCTGTGCTGCTGAGCTGAATCCTTGACCTTACTCCAATTTTTTTTTAACTTTCATATATGAGTGATATCTTGATTTGGTTTAGGATTTTTTTTGTTTTTGTTTTTTGAGGCAGGGTCTCATCATGTAATCCAGGCTGGCCTTAAACTCATGGCAATCCTTTTGCCTCTGCCTCCCAAGTGCACGGATCACAGGTGTGTGCCACTATACCTGGCTCAGTTGGGTTTAGGACATTTTAATACTAATCCTAGGCTATAGAAGTAAGTGATTTCTACTGTCTTGAGTTTCTGGTGGTAGAGCTAAGAACTCCTCCTTTTGTTTTGTAAGTAATAACCTAGTCTCTGGACATTTGTGAACTTTTAATTTATGGCTAGAGTTTCACCATAGTATGTTAAGGTGTGTCTTTTAAAGTAACCCTGCTGAGGACTTGCTGAGCTTTCCCACTTGAAAACTTAAGTCTTTTCTCAGTTCAAGGATATTTTATTGCTTCCTTTCTGTTTCCAGCTTCTTTCTTATTTATTTATTTATACCGGGGATTGAACTTGGGTCCTTGGGTTCCAGGTGGTGGAACCACTGAGCTAAATTTCCCAGTACCTCTTTATTTCATATATGAGGAAACTAAAACTAAGCCCAGAAAGGTGAAGTGACTTACCTGAACTCATATAGCCAGTTACAAATGAACCTCAGGCAAATAACCTGACTCCTTTGATGAACTAGACTCTTATTAATATTATTAACTAGACTCTTATTAATATTATTAACTAGACTCATTAATATTGCTTCAGTGAGATGAGAAGACCATTGTAAATACTGTATCTTGGACATTTGTTAATGAGACAGGAATTTTGCCAAGCATTTGTGAGGAGATGAAAAAGGAAGAGATGATAAAAATCCATTACAATTAAAATGTAGTCTATTTGAAGGATTGAAGAATTCACAGTTCTCCTGGTATCCTAGTTATTGGAGCTACTCCAAAGTTCTAAAACTTAATAAAACCAGAAAGTTGCTTAAGCAACTCAAAGAAATATATATA